TTTTAAAATCTATAACTATATAAAAAAGTTTTTAAAATATTTTATTTTTAATTTCAAGAAGCTTATATATTGTTTTGTAATTATAATATTAATTATAAAAATAAGAATTTTATTATTTATTTATAAATTTTAAAATCTATTAAAAAAATATAATATTTATTTAAAATTTTTAAACTAAATTTGATAACTATATCTTTTTTTATCTTTAATAATAATTGATAAAAAAAAGAATTTCTTTATAATCTTGTTAAAACTTAGATTGAACTAATATATTATTAAAAAAAATATAATAAATTTTATAGATTTTTAAATATATACTATAAAAAAAATAATTATATATTTATGATTAATATTTTATATTTTTTAAGATTTTTAAAATTATAAGAAAGCTTATGTTATATATTTAATAAAAAACTTATAACAATTATAATTAATAAAATAATAAATGTTAAATAGTGTAAATAATTACTACATTGTTTTTTTATTGTAAAATAACAGAACTTATATTTATTAATTTTTTGTAAATTATAAACTATTTAACTATAAATAATCTTATTTTTATAACTTTTAATTAAATAAAATATTTCTTTTTTCTTTCTAAAATAATTATTTCAAATTCTATTATTTATATAAAAAATAATTTTGTAAAATTTTGTTTTATAATATTATAATTAAAATATTATATTTATTTAGTTTATATAATAATTTTAATTAAATAAATAAATTATAATATTATATAAATAAAAATATATTATATATATATATTAATGTTAATATATTTATTTATTTTAATGAATTATAAATATTTTAATAATATTAAAATATCAATTATAAATATTAAAAGATATTTTTATTTATTAAAGTTTATAAAACTTAATATATACATTATTTAAAATATATAAATTAGATTAGTAATTAAATCTTTATTAAAATTTATAATATTGACAAAAATAATTTATTAAAATACCTAGTTTCAAATAATATTTTATTTATATAATTATCTAAAATATATTTAAAAATTTTACAAAAAATAACAAAAAATTGAATCAAATAATATAATCAACAAAATTACAAATATTTTTAATAATTCTAAAGAATATAACTAAGTTCAAATTTATTTAATATTTATTTGACAATATATTAAAAGATTTATTATAAATTTTAATTTTTTAATCTAAAAATATTTTAGTTGTTTTATTTGTTAAAAATAGAATACAGTAACTTGAATTTTTTTTAAAAATAATATATCTAGTATAGATTTTAAAAATAAAATAAATTTATACATTATTTTTAATTTTATATTCTAAAAAACCTTTATTGCACTATATAAAAATTTTAATAATCATGTTTTACATTATTCTTTCAATCTCTTTTATTGTAATATAAATTTTACTTCTCATTTTGTTAAATTAGTTACTATTAATCATAATATTCAAAATTACTTGATTCAGATTTCTGAATTTAATGATCTTTTTAATAAACTATTATATGAATAAATTTTTTATTGTAATCTAGATTTGACCTTAATTGAATTTAATAATTTAACAGAATTTTGGAATGTCTTTTTTACTTCTGATTTTAAGTAATATAACTTATTTTTTCTTGTGCTATATAAAGGAGTTTTTTAATTTATAATCTTTTAAAAGATAATTGACAAAATTTCAATGAAAATTTATTAAAATGCTAAATATACTGTATTTCAATCAACAAAATTATAAAATTTAATATACAAAATTTTCTAAATTTACATTTTGATATACTTTTTCACGTCCCTCCCGAACCTTAGATGCGTGATTTTTTAGTTGATCCAAAATATCAAAATTAATATCAAAATTAATTATTTGAACATAATAAACACTGAACACAAATTTTTACAAAAAATGATTACTGAAAATAAAATTATTGCTAAGAGTGCCAAGAATGACGTTGTTGGCGTGAAGTGCAAAAGTAAGTACTGTACAAATATTTTAGATTGTAAATATAAATAATATCGTTACTTATTTATATATAAAAATTAATGGTAACAGAATACGTCAACAAAGAGGTGACTAAATATGCTTGGAGATACTTTTTCATACGTTAATTGTAAAACTTATATTATTACGATTGATGATAACACAAAAATAAGAATCTCAAGCTTGAATGCGAACATTGCAAGAGTTAATTTCGTTAATAACAATAAAGTCCAGATTCCGCTTCCAAATGGGATGGTTATGCATGATGTTAATAACTATAATTTACGCCATTTTCGAGGTGAATACCATGTTTCCTGGATATATAATTATACATTATTTTGGAATAATAATGTGGATGTCCGTCTGAGTATGAGGTAGAGTAATTATATTTCATAATAGATGAGATTTGACCAGAAATATATTTTACGAAACATTATCAAACATTTATTAATAAATGATAATACATATAAATATAAAGTTAATAAAGAGTGTACCGAAGCAGGACTGAGATTTAATGTTTGAATCAAATTTAAAATAGCTTGACCGCATTTTTTCACGTATGTTATTAAAATATTGTAAGAAAATGCAATGTAAGAATCCCTTTTGATAATAGTCTATATAACTATACAACTTATATACTTTAACGCTTCATCAATTTACTAAATTTTATTTGTCTTTTAATAATAATAAATCTTGATAACACGACATAATTTCATTAGATGTTTGCATCATATCAAAATTAATTACTTTTATTACTTTTATTATTTTTGCTATCGTCATTTTTACCCTTGACCCAAAATTAAATAATTCTGATTATATTGTCACTTATTATCACCTTTAAATAAATAGAGTCCATGGTCTCTATAATTTTTAGAAGGCTAGTCTAACCAATTTTCCCACTAATTAGTTCCTAAAGTTTCATTATCTTCTTCATAAAGTGAATTATGAAACTTTAAAACACTCTCATTAATAACTTGTTTAATGCAATTTTCATTAGCAGTAGTAAATAAAGTCCCAGGATAGACTTTACTACCCCATTTTGGGTGTAGTAAAATATGACAACACCCCGCATTATAAATATCATATTTTAAAAGTTGTTCGGCACCTTGAATGTCTGGATAGGTTGATGGTCCGGGATCGGAAAAAATCTGGTTTATTAAATTAATAATTTAGTTGACATATTATAGAAAAATCAAAGATTCTCGCCGCCAATCTTGATAGTAAAAAAAAAGGGAAACTTTATCAAATGATAAATCACGTATGAGCCTATGGTACTTACAGGATATCCTGAAGCAGGATCAGTGAGATCAGACCAATACCCAAGATCCCTTAATTTTTGACAAACTTCTTTACCCCATTCAACAAACTAAAGAAATAAAATCAAAAGCTTTTAATTATTAAAATGACTACTATAAAATTGGCATCCGTAATCGATATTTAAATACTTACATCTTCCAATTTTTCATCTTTTTCTTTATCGATTCTTTCCCCAATTCCAACTAAATCATTTTGGCACTTCAAGAAAACTGGTATTACGAGACACTTATCAGGTTCAGCGATTTGTGGAAATACATTTTTCAATTCTCTATTAAATTTATTTGGTCCAGCATGAATAGAATATTCGAGAACAATTGGACAAAGAGTTTTGGGATTTCTGACAGTTACTAGTGTTGGTGCCGCTAAAGTTCGGGTGCATGTTTTGGTCCGTTTTTTTGTTGGTGTAGGAGATTTTATAACGGTGGAATCCTTATGGATTGATAAATTCAAAGATTTTTGACTTAGAGATCCCATTATCGTTATCATCATTTTTTTTATGTTTCAAGTAATTTCCCAATTTATATATTTTTTTTTCGTGATTAAAATGGCATTTTGCACTACATATGGCTAACGGTTTAAAACTAAATCCGGCTATCATCGGTTAAGTCCAATGTTACAGTTGTACAATACTCAACAGGAGGAACCGTCGATGTTACACGACTGATCCTTCACCCGGTGTGCAACATATAAAAAAATTATTTTACAAT